AACCGTCAGCCGCGCTTCCCAAAGGTCGCGGCTTGAGCATGAGCAGCCGAAACAAAACAAGGAAAAACATTCCTCATCCTGCGTCGAGATTTGAACCCGCGAGCGCGCACACTGCTGCACAAGCGTGTTCGTTTTGTGTAGTCCGTCAGGAGCGCTGGCAATGCGCCACATAGTCTCTCTCTCTCTCCAGGCGCGGATCCAGGGGGGGGCAATGGGGGCAATTGCCCCCCCCAAAGCCTTCGAAAGCATGGAAAACTTAGAGAAGAAGGGGAGAGGAGGGAGAGGGAGAAAGGAGGAGAAGAAAAGAGAGAGGAGGAAGAAGGGGAGTAAAGGAAAAGAAGAGAAAAAATAAGGAGGAAAGAAAAAGTTCTTAAAAAATATAGGTCTTTCTTTAGAATTTTCAGGCAGCAAGGAAACGTTTAAACAACTAAAGTATTTTGTGCTTTGATTCTCTCAATTGAAAAATTTCGTTCAGTTTTGTACACCACTAGATAAGCATAAATATTTTTTTATTTTTGAAAGTTTTTGAATTAGGCAGATTCTTCTTTTTTTTCCTCCGTAGGTCACAAGATAGTTGGTACTCTTCAGATTTTTTCTGAGCCTGTTTTGCTTGCGGTAATGGTGACTTCTTGTCAAAATTTTAATTCGTATTTTTCAGAAATTTTTTCGCTTGCTTCGCTCGCGATGACTTCTAGGATTTCCCTTTTCACTTAGCTCGTGGTCCCAATTTTAAAACATAGTTTCCAAAATTTTTTCGCTCGCTTCGCTCGCGACAGCTTTTTTTACAAGTATCCTTCACCATTATGGAAAACGGGGGTTTGTTCTTTCAAATTTGGCAAATGTTTATGTACTTTCCCCTGTGAGTTAGGCAACCAACCTGACACATTCAGAAAAATGCCCCCCCTAAAACCTTTCGCTGGATCCGCGCCTGTCTCTCTCCCTCTCTCTCGCGCGTGCCTCACAGGTGTGTGTGTGTGTGTGTGTGAGAGAGAGAGAGAGAGAGAGAGAGGGGGCATTGCGTGAAGGAACGTCTCTGTATTGGATCTTGGCTACCGAGCACGATTTGAACATTTGTAAATCGCCCAACTCTACCCCGCGGACTCGCGCATACGCACACACCACAACATCCTCCACGGCAGCTGCTGTGCGTGGGACACACACACACACACACACACACACACACACACACACACAACCACACACAGTCTGACAGGTAGGGGGCTTGTTTACGAGACTGGCCCCATTCGTTTTCAAACATCTACATGTCTTTTCGATTACGCCGCTGAGTTAGATGTTAATGCGGCGAGCTCGCCCCGCCGACTTGCGCTGCTCAGCGCGCTTTAATGCAAAGCACTTCCTCAAAATATCACCCGTGTAGTCACGACCGATGGGGACAGAAATACTGTTGTACACTATATGAGAAGTTGTATACGACGGGTGGAACCGCGCAAAACAGGTATTTTAAAGGGGTTATTTTTTTCGGTTTGCTGGTTTGCTTCCGTAGCTGTCACACGTCTCGGGCCGCCGACGTGTTCACACCATTTTTACCAGGGCCACAACGGCGGTGATGCAGTGGGAACACAGCACAGGGCACGGCGCAGCGCCCACCACGCGGGTCAAGGTACTTATTCACTGTCAGTTTACCGTGAGGATGGTTGGGCGGGGCGGGGGCGGGAAGAGGCTACCCTATTTTCAGCGCACAAACAGCTGCGGCGGCAGGGATAATGGAATAATGCCGTGCTGCTACTTCTGCATGCCCGCTGCCCGCGTTGGATCCGAGCAGCTCGGCGTAGTTTCTTCTGCAATAAGCCCCCGTCGTGCGCGTTGTATTGTGTGTCCCGCTCATCGACCAGGTGGCTGATTCACGCCGCCGCGCACTTTCGTAGCTATACTGTACCACATGCACGGCTGCGGGCGGGTTTGCCTACTGCCCACGGCTGCTTGGGGCCCCATGCGAGTAAGGCAACACGCGTGCATGCGGTACAGTAATAGCTACAAAAGTGCGCGGCGTGAATCAGCCACCTGCTACAACGTGAACCTGCTTTTCTTTGGGCGACGGCGACGCGTCACCGCGGGCCGGGCCGACGTTATCCGGCAGCTCTGCTCTTGCCTGTCGGCGTGGACCTGGCTTGGCACTCCCTTATAAGTTACCTTGGACCTCGGCCGCCCTCCTGAGGCACTCACTTAACCTCTGCCATGGACCTGAGTATCGCTGTTCTGTGGCACCTTCTTCTCTTCCCCGCTGCCATGCACCCGCTACTTCTTCCCCTCTCGTGGACCCCCACCCCCCTGCCGTCTTGTGCGCGAGGACTTCCCCCTTCCCGCCGGGTCCCATAGGTCGCCCTGGGCACGCCATCCATCGCGGCCGTCGCCGGCGCCAATTAACGCTACGCCGCGCTCAAAGGGCGGGGCG